AATACATGAATTAAAGTACCATGGATTCTAATAACGGAGCCTTGACTTGTGAAGAGTCTGACTTTTTTTTTTTTCCCCTTTTAAATCCAAGAATGCACGTAGGTGTTATTACCCGTTAAGTCATTGTATCGTAAGGCTTGGTCTGCATTTTCACATTAAAAATATCTGTGTATTTCAAAAACTCAGCGGCTGGATTTTCATTAAGAATTTATTTTCTTTAAGACAACACAGAGCAGTTGTTCTTGAAATCAGCTTCCATCCTTCTAAACAACCAAGTAAATCACACTGTCACCAAATAAAACTACTCCTTGACTAGAGCTTTTAAGAAAGTTTCCCTTTGTTTTTCATAGCAATATTAGCAGCATTAATCATAGATTACACCAAATCAACAGTAAGTAATTTGCCAAACTGAATTTAATACAAATTATCCATTTCAATATGAGGTAGCGGAGCCTTAAAAAGTATTTGATGCATGATGATTTTATGGAGCAGGCCTGTCATTGATTTACCCTGCTTTTAAAACCCCCTGAATAGTGAATAATGAATGATTCCTCAACATTATTTCGATTTGTGACTCTACCTTTTTCCCTTTACATACAAAGCATGGAAAAAGAAAGGCTTTGTAACAACTTTACAAAAAGCAGTGAAGGATTTAATAATCAATGAAGTATGATATTACTGAAATTTACCAAGGAGGATGTAAATTAGTTTGTAAGATTTATTTTAAGTTACAGAAGTTCTTAGCAAGAAAAGCATTTCTTCAAAGTTCAGCTCCTAAAAATACTGAACAGCAATATCTTGTGCTTTATATAAATGACCAAAAAAGCAGCTTTAACACAGCTCCGAGCCCAGCAGGTGGCACTCTCTCTTTATCATCTACAAGTAGCTTTAGAAATTTTCATCACGCAAATTTAGATTTCATTTCATGCAAATTTGCTATCCAGAAAAAGCAGCATTAACCAAAATTTTAATCAGCAAATATTATATGAGCACTTGCTTTTCCTCAGTGCTATTTTGTTTTTTGCATGCAGATATTACTTGTCAGAAGAAACACATAGATATCTCATAGGAAGTGTTAAGTTCATGAAAAATTACTTCAGTTGCAAAAAAAAGTACTCACAGTGTCAAGATTCGGGTCTGCAGTAAAAACACAACTGCATGTAGTCATCCTTCTTCCTGCAACAAGGATAAATTCAATTGTGCTTTTTGCAACATTTTTGGCTTTCATTTGTTGCTGTACTTATTTTAGGAAGTTTCACTTTCTGTGAACAGAAGTGGAATTATTTGTATTTTATTCTATAGAAGGTGCTTACAGCAACCGACTCTTGCTTTTCTATGCTTAATGCCCCTGTAAAACCACCTTTTTATTGACAGAGCTGACCAGTTTTGTAGGGTGCTTTCAGGATACTTCAGTGAAATGAGCTCAAAACCTGACATTTCAGAATTTAGAGGCTTTTTAATAGTTAATTTTTTTTTTTTTTAATTTTTTTTTTTTTTTTTTTACGCACAGCGTAGCCTGATAGGACATGAAAACAGATTGTGTTTTCTTATTGCCCTTTCTGCTTTTGTGTATGTCTGTGGAATTCGTTAATATAGCATTATCGCAACATATCTGGAAGATGAATTGTACCCTGCCCCATTTATTTTATTATTTTTTTTAAAGGTAAAGAACACTGGATTTGCAAACGATTAGCAGAGCAATGCTGCAATGGGGAATGCACAGGCTTCTGAGCACCCACTTCACCCACAGGCCTCTAGTCAGATCAGAGATTCTAAACCTTGGGCACAATCCAACACTTTTACTGACAGACTTTTCACAAACATAAAGTAAATATTTTTGAATTATTAATGCATTTGAAAATAATATTTTTAGTGTCTTCTCATACTTTGTTCTGTTTCTTTGTTTCTCTCTTTCTACTTTATCTTGTTTTCTTCATAATAAAGTTCTTTCATAGTCACACAGTATGCCTTTAGGGAAGGGAACTTGAGAATAAAAAATAGCATGCAGATTTGGAGCTTTTCACATGGATTGACATATCTAATATTACAGAAATTCTCTTATTGCTGTGTTCCAAGGTCAGTGCAGCAACTGTGTGATCTAACTGCTATGAAAGTTTTCTTGTTAGCACTCCTGGCTCAAACAGCTTGTCCTTCATTGTTAAGTTTTCTTAACACTTAAAGTGTTTGTTAATTTTGCACAGATGCTAGAAGTAATCGTCCCCAGTGTTTGCAGAGTAAATTACTTAACAGCTGCAATTTGTGAACCAAAGCCAGCAGGGAAGTTGCAACTCCAAGTAGCCTGTGTGTTAACACCCATTTCTTTGAATTGGACATGAAAGCAGGAAATCTATTTTTATACACACATTTTAAAAAAAAACATAATTTTGAGTGAGTAATCCCCCCTGTGAAAAAGATGTACATCCTTTTCCCTTGTACTCATAAAAATACAGCAGTTTTGAGTTAATAAATAAATCTGTTGTGCTATGTTGCAAGTGTTTGTGTTACACAGCTTTTAAGTCTGTAGTAGCCTACAATTAGCAAATTTATCAGATGTTGGAAAAATAGGTGGAGCTAGAAGGCTAAACAACATGACATTCAACACTGAGTAATCCTTTGCAATGTCTGGGTGCTGTCACAGCTTAGGCACGCCAAAGATTCAAGAATGCATCACTGGCTGTGAAGAGCACTTAATTGTAAAACACCTCATTCTCCACTAGTAACAAATTCCCTCCTAAACTAAGATTTATAGATAAAGTGTGTTAATATATAACACAAAGCTTATCGGGCCTTCCAAGTAGCCAAAGTTCTCAGAATCCTGCACAGGCTTCTCCCTTCCATTCGAAGAGACTGTAGGTCACTTCTGGGGATACTAGAGTAGGAGCATAGGTTTGTTACAGGGCACAGTCTCATGCAAAAAACAAGTGAATATGAATTTTTAATTTCTTACAAAGCTTCCCCAACATCAGACGCTTTTAAGATTCAGCTGGACAGGGTGCTAGGCCATCTTATCTAGACTGGGCTTTTCCCAAGAAAGGTTGGACGAGGTGATCCTTGAGGCCCTTTCCAACCTGCTGTTCTTAATACTTGAAAAGTTTTTCATTAAATGTATTTCTACCAGCTCTAAATTACTTAAACGTGCTCTTTATCATACTGAAAGCAAGCATGCGAAAGAAGAGCCACTGTAAACTCTGAATAAAACAAAATTCTACAGCCTGAGTAGAGTAGCCTTAAAAACAGGCTCTTACCTCTCTCCCTTATTTCCACTTGACCCAAGTTCTTAATACTTGAAAAGTTTTTCATTAAATGTATTTCTACCAGCTCTAAATTACTTAAACGTGCTCTTTATCATACTGAAAGCAAGCATGCGAAAGAAGAGCCACTGTAAACTCTGAATAAAACAAAATTCTACAGCCTGAGTAGAGTAGCCTTAAAAACAGGCTCTTACCTCTCTCCCTTATTTCCACTTGACCCAAACCCAAGAGCAGCCACCATTTTATGGCTGTTGATTAGACTAACAAGTTCCATCTGGTACATCTTAGTGTTACCTAAAGGCACACCTGGGAAGCTTCTCCCCAACCCCACCCCCCAAATCCCCCAGCAAATAAACTATGCAGGGAGGAAAGCGATGGTGCCTGCAAGCCTTGCAGTCTTGCAAATCTCAACAGAGACTGCGACTCTTTTGTAGCAGAGCTACTTCTGAGTGTAGGGTGAGCTGACTAGATGCAGGGGCCTGACTCCTAGGTCACTGAACGCATATTCTAACTTGGTTGCCTCAAAAGATTCATGACCATGTTTTGCTGCACAGGGGTGATGGGATTCAGACGCCTACTTGGCTGTACATCGTTTGTTTAAAAAGCCAACACCGCCTCAACCTAAGCATGTCCGTTAAACAGAGCCTTGCCTTGCTCTTGTTAGTGCTTCTGTGTTGTTACTTTCTTGGGCATCAGCAGAGTTTGCTGTGCAAGGGGACTAGTCTGGGGTCTGCTGCTTCTTTTGGCACTCTTCAGTAGCAGTAAGAGGGATTAAACCAGACCTTTTCAATAATAAATAAAAGAACAGGAATTACTACCCCTAACCCATAA